TCTGTGAGGTGGAGTCGAGTTTGGGGGGGGCAGAACTGGCCCAGGATGGATCGGGAATGGGGACCCCCCCGGTGTTTCCCCAATGTCAGCCCGTTCTGGGGGGCTTTGGGAGGGCACCTGCCCCTCAATAAAGCACCCAGCTCACACCAAAAGGTGCTGGGACACCCCAAAAGCTTCCCCAGAGCTCCCCAAGGACCCCCAAACACACTCACAGTCCACCCAGAACCCCCCCCAACCCTTTTTCTGGGGGGACTTCTCTGGGCACTGGTGGTGCTGGGAGCCCCCCCGGCTGCGGGCGAGGAGCTCTTGGGTGAGCGGGGGGTGGGAAGGGGGAGGTCAGTGGGAAAAGGGGGGTCAGAGGGGACCCCAAACTGAGTGGGAGGGGAGTGGGACACAAAAGTAAGAATTCCTAATTAGAGATGGATGGAACCATCAGGGGGTTCATTTGGGGTGGAATGAGTGGCCAAAGCTCTTCCTGCATGTGGGGCACTGGTAGGGCTTCACTTACTGGTGGGTCTCTTGGTGTCTTGTCCAGTTAGAGCTCTTGGTGAAGCTCTTTCCACACTCCCCACACTTGTAGGGCATCTCCCCAGTGCGGATGTGGGTGGGTGACGAGGTGGGAGTTCTGCTTGAAGCCCTTCCTGCAGTCGGTGCAGCGGAAGGGCCTCTCATCCCTGTGAATCCGCTCATGCAGGAGGAGATTGGAGCTGGTGTGAAACCTCCTCCCACATTCTCCACACTGGTAGGGACGTTCCCCGGTATGGATGAGCTGGTGTTTGTGGAGGTGGGAGCTCTGGCTGAAGTTTTTCCCACATTCCTCACACATGTTGGGCCGTTCCCCAGTGTGGATGCGCTGGTGGGTGCGGAGGTGGGAGCTGTCCCTGAAGCTCTTTTCGCATTCCCCACATGGGTGGGGCCATTCCCCAGTGTGGATGTGCTGGTGTCGGAGCAGGTGGGTGCTCTTCCTGAAGCTCTTTCCACACTCCAAGCACCTTAAGGGCTTCTCCCAGCTGGGAGGCTGCTCAGGCTCCACCAGCTCAGAGCTCCCCCTCAAACTCTGGCCGCCTTCTCGGCACAGGCTGAGTCTTTCCTCCTCACAGCACCCTGGGCTGAGCAGGTCGGGGCAGTAGTAATAGTCAGTGAGTCTCCAGATGCCAATGCAGTTCTCAGAGCACAGCCTGGAACGGAGGAACTCTCAGCACAGGTTGACGATGCCCATGACGTTGAACTGGTCTGCTGTGACCAGCAAACTCTCTTTTGTGTCTATTCCTGGTTGCTGATTGATGCTGGGGACCTGAGGGAGCCTCTGCAATCCCCTCTGTGGGGCACAATCTCCTCTCCAGAGCTTGACTCAGTGCAGACTTTGCAGGGGAATCTGTGCTGGCAGCCCGAGTATGTCCTGACCCCCCGTGCTCCCCCCAGGATATTTGGGATGAGCTCCCCCTTCCCGGTAACCTGTGGGATGGGGGGGCGATTGTTCTCCTGCTGTGGAAAGGGTTGGCAGAGGGGGGCTAAGGGGAGGGGGGAGAGCGGGAGTGGGGTTGCCATGGGGGTGCCTTGGTGTCCCCATGCCTTGATCCCTGGAGAGTGAGGGAGGCTGGAGAGAGGGGGGAGCTGCAAGAGCCCTGAGAGCCTGGAGAGGGTGGCGCGGAGAAGGGGAAGCCTGGACAGTGGGGACATCTGGGATCCCAAGGACAACAAAGTGGAGAACCTGGAGAGGGGGAATGTCTGGGAATGTGGCACCTCGAAGGCAAGAATCAAAGAATTTGGAGATGGATGGAACCATCAGGGGTTCATTTGGGGTGGAAGGAGCGGCCAAAGCTCTTCCTGCAGGTGGGGCACTGGTAGGGCTTCACTTACTGGTGGGTCTCTTGGTGTCTCGTCAAGTTAGAGCTCTGGGTGAAGCTCTTTCCACGCTCCCCACACTTGTAGAGCATCTCCCCAGTGTGAATGTGCTGGTGTCGGAGCAGGTGGGAGCTCTTCCTGAAGCTCTTTTCACACTCCAAGCACCTGAAGGGCTTCTCCCTGCTGGGAGGCTGCTCAGGCTCCACCAGGTCCGAGCTCTGCCTCAAGCTCTGGCCGCCTTCTCGGCACAGGCTGGGTCTTTCCTCCTCACAGGCAGGGCAGGGCAGCCGGGCAGGGGCTGGAGGAAGGGGCTGCAGCCTGGGTTGAGGCTTTGCTTGAGGCCCCCCCAGGCTGACACGTGTACAGGGCTCCCCAGGTCCATGTGCTCACCCCAGCACCCATCAAAAGCCTTTCTTGGGGGGGATCTGCCCAGGAGGAGGAGGACGAGGCAGTGGCTGCCCGGGGCCATGGCCATGGCGCTGGGGCTGCAGCAGCAGAAGGGCCTGGCGGGGGGAAGGCAGAGAAGGGGGGTCCGGGACGCCCCTTCCCTGCCCGGGACGCCCCTTCCCTTCGCTTTCCCTCCCTTCCCTTCCCCTGCACCCGCCCAGCCCGGCCCTCTTGGAATTTCTCTAGACGTGTCGCTCATCTCCCTCTCCATGTTGGAGGACCTGAAGTAGGTACTGCAACCACAGAGGATGAGCTTGTGAGCCTTGAATTCTACCCCATCCACGCTTATGATTGCATCACAGAGTTTCCCTTCCAGGCGGAGCTCGTTGGCGATGCTCCAATTCCCTTCGCTCATCTCTCTCTCCATGTTGGAGGATGACTGTCTGGTGGGTGCTGAGCTATCCCCCACGTTGCAGTCAGAGGCAGTGGCCCTCGCTGACGCACGTGGAACACTCTGGTGTTCCTGCAAACATCCAGTGCTGAACCCACTCGCTGGCTCTCTTACGGGTGGGTCCGTTGGTGTTTGGACAAGTGTCCACTCTGGGCAAAGCTCTTCCCACACTCCCCACACCTGTAGGGCCGTTCCTCAGAGTGGATGTGCTGGTGAGTGAGGAGGCTGGAGCTCTTCCTGAAGCTCTTCTCACACTCCAAGCACTTGAAGGGCTTCTCCCTGCTGGGAGGCTGCTCAGAGACCACCAGCTCAGAGCTCCCCCTCAAGCTCAGGCCGCCTTCCCGGCACAGGCTGGCTCTTTCCTCCTCAGAGCACCCTGGGCTGGCTTTGGAGCCCCTCCTGCGGGGGGATCTCCGGCCCTTTTCCTCCCCGCTGCCTTCCTGCGCCGGGGAGCCCTTCAAAACGGCCTCTCCCACCAGGGTCTCACGGGGGGATTTGTCCTCCGCGCTCTCCGTCCTCAGCTCGGGGCCTGGGGCAGGAAGCAAGAAGGACAGGCAGGGGATTTGCCTCCGGCCCACAGGGAAGGCCAAGGACATCCCCCCAACTCCGGCCCCGGCAGGACGGCGGCGCCAGCGGGGTTGTCCTGCAGCCGGGGCCATGCTGGGCTGACAGAGCCAGCACAACACCCGCCCAAAGGGACACTGACTTCCTCCTCACCTGCCTGGGGGGCCCAAGGCATCTTCCTCTTCCTCGCAGCCTCCTCCTCCATCCGCCCAAGCTTTGGGAAGGACAAATCCTGATGGGGGGGAAAACAAGGGCTGAGCACGTTGGCTTGGGGGTTCCTCCTGCCCAAGTCCATCTCTAGAACTCATCGGGCATCATAAAAACCTCCAAAACAGCAAGAATCAGCCCAGAAAAACTGAAACCACCAAGATTCAGGCAAAAATCCCTTTCAGAAATAGCAAGCAGTGCAGGAGGAGCCTCCCAAGCAGCAGTTGCAGGGCAGCAGGGACCGACTTGAGCTGCCTTTGGTGCCCAGGAACTCCCCCCACACAGCCCCTCTCCTGCCCCGAGGGACCACCAGAACAGGGGGAGCCCAAAGGACTGGACTGGAGGAATTGAACAGACATTTTGGGGCCATTTGATGGACATTTTGCAGGGGTGGTGCACAGACTAAGGGAAGGAGACCTGTGTGTTCTAGCAAAGAATGGGAAGGGGGTGGTGGGGGGTGAAGTTGTATTGAGTCGTGTGGGGCCTGGCCATGATGGGACTGGTGTGGAATAAGGGCCAGAATGTGCTGCTTTGGGCCGGGGTGGAGTTAATTTCCTTTGCAGGGGCTGGTGTGGGGCTGTGGTTGGGCTTGTGCTGAGCACAGGCTTGAGAACACAGAGGTGGTTTGGTTAGTGCTGAGCCTCCCCAGAGCCAAGGCCTTTCCTGCCCCTGGCACAGACACACTGGGGAGGGGCTGGGGGTTTGTAAATAAATCCTTGTGTTTCCATTACTGTCCTGAAGTAGGTACTGCAACAAGAGAGGATGAGCTTGTGAGTCTTTAATTCCACACCATCCACGCTTATGATAGCATCACAGAGTTTCCCTTCAAGGCAATAAAACTACTTCTGAACCAGCAGAGTCTTCTGGGTGCTGTGGTTGACTGGACACGACAAGAAGTCCAGCTGGTCAGGGAAGTCCAAGACTGGGCAGGCACCAATGGCCCGGATTGGCACAGTGAGCTTTTCTCTTTTGCTGATGCAGACAAGCTGGTGGAAATGATCCTGCAGGAAAAGAGACTGGCACAGCATTGAGGGCATTGAGTGCCATCCTCATGGCAGAAGAAAAAGGGCTGTTTTCTATGACCCTTTGTGGGCATGAATTGACCTCTCCCACCCCAAAAACGACCACTAATTCATACTAATAAAGGCTGGAGAACAGAGCATGTGAAAAAGCATCAGTTTTGCTCCATTCCATTGGGAAAGAATAAAGCTCTCTGGATCATCTTTTTCTTCCTCTGGTATTTTCCATATTTAAATCCCTTCCACTGAACCTAGAGATGGCTAAACCTCAACACCCCTCCCTGTCATTTCCCTGCTGTTCCATCTGCCTCTTCCCCCGTGAACGTTCAAGAACAGGCACGGAGGGAAAGCACAGCCCTCTAGGCCCAGCTGCAGGGCCTGGCAGCACCACGCTGTGCCAAGGTGTGACCAGCTCCAGGCTGCCTGCCCCCAGCCCAGAGCCGACCTCACAGCACGGGCTGGGCTATAACCAGTGTGCAACAAACGCCCTGGCTTTAGAGAGAACGTTCCTCCAAACTCACCTTGCTCCCCTCAGGGATGAAAAGGATGTTTATAGTGCAAAATGAGCCCGGTGGGATCTGATGGCACACACCATTGGGGCCGACCAACTTGAAATAAGGTGAGCTGTCCATGGTGACCTTCACCAGCTGAGTAACCTGCAGGAAAGACACAAAATGGTGATTTTGCCGCTTGTGCAAACAGGAGGAGACCTGGGTGTGCCCTGGTGACAGCCTTCCTTGACCACTTTCCCAAAGGACTTTTAGCTCTGGAGGTTCAAACACAGGCTACACAAGGGTGAACTTGGATCCCTCTGCCTGGGCAAAGCAGCTCGGCCAGAGGCAGTAGGGCAGTGCCTGCTGGGAAGGAAGGTCAGGCACCAGCAGTATGGAGATAGAACACCTGAACCAAGTCATCCTCATTTCAACAAGCCCAGAGAATCTGCCTGCTTCTGCCTGCACACAGCCACGCAGCCCTGTTCCAGAGGGAGAATGTGCTACCTGAAGGCAAACCAGCACATTGTCCTGGGGGAAGGAAGAAATTCCCTTCTAACAGACTGAGGTGGAGTGGGGAAGTCCAGCTGTGGGGAGACAGTCCTATGGGCACACCAGCAGAGGAGACCAGACCCTTGGCCTTCCTGGGAAACTGAAGAGAAAAGGAGGAACACAGCAAGACAGAGAGACAAGCCCCGACACAATGAGATGGCAAAGAGTATTGAAATGGGCTGTAAAGAAGCAAGGGAGAAGCACAAGACACTGCCAGGAAAGGCTGGTGCAGAAGATGGGAGCAGTCAGCTTGCCAGAGTGAGGGAAAGCCAGACGGCCCTGCAGGCTGGGCCTGTCAACTCTGGGCTTGAAAGGTTATTTTCTGCCTGGAGAAACATGAGCAGCACCAACTGACAGTGTGGTTTCATTATTAAAAGCCAGTCTCAGCTCTCCAGGGGCTCTTGCTGCCTGGTGACTGTGGCCAGGCAGCTGCCAGAGCAGGCAAGCCAGACTGCTGGGCATTCCTGCAGCCACCCTGCTGCCAGTTTCTGCCCTCAGGGGAACACAGGCACAGGGACAGCAAACAGGCATTTGCTAGCACAGGGGTATCAACCCCTGAGCACCAAATCCCATCTCACAACCTCTAAACCAGGTGATTTGGACTCCCTGCTGTCTATTCCCACCAGCTTGCTCTTGGCACAAGAGTCATTTGAGAAACTGTTTCCTTGACTGAAATTCAAAAGGTCTCAGTTTTCCTCTTTACAGGGCAACACAATTGCTGACATTTTTCAACTTCTTCCTTCTCAGCTTTCGTGGGCAATTGCAAAACAATCACACTTTGTTCAAGTGAAGGTGGAAACCCTCAAGAGCCCATTGCTCTGGATGTCAGATACCACCAAGGCACGGCCAAAATCAGGGGACAATCCTCAGCACGGGAAAATTCCCACCATCTTGCAAATCCAAGGTGGTGAATCTGGATGGGCCACAGCTGATACTTGCTCTGCTGTAAACCATGGGGGTTACACCACTCTGCTCTTCTTCTAGCACAGTGTTAAAGCGCCACATCCCAGCACTTACCTTGTCTCTATTCCTCAGAAGCAGGGCCGTTTCACAGACCTTGCCAAGGACATAGTTCTGAAACACCAGCTCGGATGGGACAGGCTCAAGCAAGGTCTTGTTCCGGTCAGGGGATGAGAACTGGAGAGGTGAGAGAGAGCAGGGAGAGGTTCAGCTGCTGGGAGGAAGGTTCGTGAATGCCTCTCCTCTCTTGATCCCCGGTGAAGGACAGGCTCTTGGTGACTAGGTCTGCCCAGCTGCCACTGGGGGAACAGTAGCTCACCCACCTCTGCTCTGAGCTGATCAAAAGCTGCTGGACCACACTAAGCAGGCTCAAGCTGAGCAGCTCTTTTGGCAGGAGTTTCTCCAGCTTTCCTTCTCCAAAATGCCAGGCAGCGCTTACCTCCAGCACAGCCCTGTGCTAATGGGGTCCCAGAGCTCTGGGCACTCACTCAGCACTCAAGCAGTAAGTGAAACTCAAGAATTTACATCAGACTCCATAGGAAACAATTTTTGGGTGACCTTTACTCTGAGGCAGGGAGACTGAGGCCCACACAACTCCGGACTCTAGAGCTTAGACAGCAGTAAGAAGAGAACAGCACCAGAGAAGGTTAAGGGCAAAAAGAAAGTACCACAGTAGATAGGGATAGGACAAATAAGGTGAGTGCTGCATGAGGATAAGGTTCAGCTCTTTTCTCAGCAGTGCTGGAGTTGTGTTAGGCTGGGAGGAATTCCCTCAGGCCCTCAGCCTTCAAAGGCCAGCACTGCCACTGTGCAGGGAATCCTATGACTCCCAGCATTTGCCAGTGACAACACCAAAGCAAGAGGTGGCTCTTTCAGTGGGACAATGGAAAATGGCAAGCTCGTGCCCTTGTGTCCTGCCCCAGCCTTCCCCCGCTATTGTGCCTTCGCCATGGCAGCTAAACTCCAGCAAACCCCACCAGCTTCAGCAGAAATTATTTGTGTTGGCTTAGCACAGATCAGGACTCCAGCATCTCACTAGGAGAAAACGTTTTGCCTTTGCCCCAGCAGAAGGAACTCCACCACCAGCAGCAGTTTGCAACGACAACAGGACCCGGACACTGAGGGGTTTCAATGAGCTGGAGGCAAGGCACGCAGCCTCTTCAAGTGTCACATCAAACAGCAAGGAAAAGGGCAGGAAAAGGCTACCTTGGAACTGGAGTTCTCACTGGTGCCTGGGGGCCGGACAGTCTTGGGCAGCTTTGTCTCCTGAGGGCTGTCCGGCTTCTTCCTGAGCCTGAGACCAACCTCCCTGAAGTCAAAGATGGTCAGCTGGAAGGCAAAAAAACCAGCAAGAGCCTCAGAAATGCCCTTGTTTAGAAAGGCTTTTCTTGTTCAAGTGGCTCTGATGAATCATTTGTGATCACAGCCACCAGGACAGTCCTGGAAGTCCTGGACCTGCTGAAGTATTAAACATCACAAAATTAATGGTATAGAGCAGAACACACTTGCTCAGCCACACTGTCATCCTGATTATCCTCCCTATGCCCTTGGGGGCATTTTTGGAGCCAATTTACACCTCTAATATTTTTTTCTCTCCTGGAGAGAGAACTGATTCTGCTTGCACATTGTAATCCTTTCAGAAGAACTTTTCCCCCTAGTTTTCCTCACTTGTTGTTAATACTTTTTTCCTCTTAAGTTTAAAAATTAAAACCTTTGCTCTGAAAGAGAGCGAAGGAAGAATGAAGAAGCTTCAAACCAAGGAGAAAAACCTTAAAATCCGAATTTCTGTGAACAGCACAAAAAGTCTCCTCCCGCTGCATTAATGCCGCCTCACGAAACGGCGATGGCCTCTGCAGGCAGCTGCCTAAAAACACCCACGGCTCCTCGGGAACACAGACATGCAATTGTTATTTTTTTTTCCCCCCCCCTAAAGATTTAATTTTTCTCTCTTTCCATTCAGCCCCTCGGTGACTCCCGAGAGCCCTCTGCAAAGCCATAAACTGACTTTCGGAGGAGCTTTCGGACACCCCCGGGATCCTCCCCCGCGCTGCCGTGGGGCCCGTGGGTGTGTGAGGGGCTGAGGGGTCGAGCGCCTGGACACTGATAAATAAACATCAGCAGCAGGGACACGGGCCCGCCCCCGCCGCGCTGCGCAAACGGCGCAGGGATACGCAAACGGCGTAAGGCGGCGCCGCGGGCGGCAAAGGAGCGGCGCTACGCAAATTGCGTAAGGGGCCGGCAATGCCCACAGCCCTACTCAAACAGCGTAAGGAGGGCGCCGGTAATGGCAACGGGGGAGTTACGTCAGTTGCGTAAAGATACGGAAATGGCGCAAGAGCCCTGCCCTCAGCGCTACGCAAATGACGGGAGGGCCACGGTGGCTTCCTGAGGGCTCGCGGACCTTTCCCACTTCATCCCAGTCCTCTCCAAAGGGCTCCCACTTTGTCCCAGTCCCTCCCTAAGGGCTCTCAGTTCCCTCCTAAGGGCTCCCAGTCCATCCCAGTCCCCTCCTAACGCCGCTGCCCACAGCCCTACGCAAACGGCGTAAGGGGGCGCCGGTAACGGCAAGGGAGGGGCGCTACGTAAACTGCGTTAGGCTACGCAAATGGCGTAAGCGCCCTGCCCTCAGCGCTACGCAAATGGCGGTTCCTTCCCCGGGGCTCCCAGTTTATCCCAGTACCTCCCAGTCCTTTCCTAAGGGCTCCCACTTCATCCCAGCTATCGCCGCGTTCTCACGCTTCCAGAATTTTCTCCCTCCGCTTCCCAACTATAAAAGGGACTTTCTGTGCTGAACACCGAGCCGGGAGCACTGACGGGCTCGGCGCAGGGGCCCTGTGCTATTTGATTTCTCTACAGTTCATGGTTTTATAATGAAGGGGGAAGGGTTAATAATCTGTCACAAAGGACTGGAGCTCTCAGAGCCAATTAGTCCTCCAGTGAACCATTTAGCTGCTGAAATAAATCCAGTCTCAGGCACGCAATGAGCAGGATTCGAGACAGAAAAGCCTGTGTGGGTACGCAGGGCATTGAGCTCGTGCAGATTTGTCCACAGGTGCAACTTGGTACATTTTAGTACCGAGTGCTTTTGATACACAAACTGGCCACCGAAACTCTCTTGGGTCAGAACGTGCAAAGGTGGGACAGCTTTATCCAGAACACGTAGACCACACAATTTCTCAAAGCTGGATCAGAATCTGTGCCAGCCTGTGGTGGAACCATGAAAGCCACCCCCAGGAGTTGCATTTCCCATTCGGATAGCAGGTGGGGACAAGTCCCTGCCACAGGAATGGAAAATCCATGGTGGGGTGGGAAGGGCCAAGATGCTGCCCTGGCAGAGAAGGGGGGATGTGCCACTGCAACATCTCCCAGCAATGCTGCTGTGGGTGGAAAAACACCATTAAGCTGGGACAAAGTCTAGGAAAGCAACGGCAGAGTCTGTCTCCCTCTAAATGTGATGTCTCCATCATCCAGACCCAAAGCCATGCTTTGGACCTCCCTGCACCAGTCTTGGTTTTCCAGCTCCTTAACTGCATCAGAACAAGGCCAAAAACATTACTTCTTTTTATATTCTTGTAATGGGTTGACCCTGGCCAGATAACCAGGTACCCACTAAAGCCACTCTCTCACTCTTCCTCTGCAACTGGACAGAGGACAAAAACCAGCTAAGAATTCCTGAGTAGAGCTAAGAGCTGGGAGAGGTCAGTGACTGATCACCTTCACGGGCAAGACAAGACTCCAAGTGGGGATAGTACTTATATTTAATACTAACAGGATAAGAGCCAAAGAGTGAGAAATAAAACAGTCTTAAAAACACCTTCCCCCCCCTTTCCTTCCATGTTCTCCCTCCTCCCCCCCAGCAGGGAGATGGGAGGGGATGGGAATGGGGGTCACGGTCAGTTGTTGTTTCTGCCGCTGCTCAGGGAGAGGAGTTGGAGTCCTTCCCCTGCTCCCGTGGGGTCCCTCCCACGGGAGACAGTCCTTGATGGACCTCTCCGGCGTGAGTCCATCCCTCGGGCAGCAGCTCTTCCCGACCTGCTGTCCCGTGGGTCACTCCTCCATGGGGTCAGTCCCTCACAAATGAGCTGTACCGGCGTGGGTCCCCCACAGGGGCCATGAGTCCTACCTGGGAAAAACCTGCTCCAGCCTGGGCTTCCCTCTCCACGGGCTGCAGGTCCCTGCCAGGACCCTGCTCCATCCTGGGCCTGCCACGGGGTCACAGCCCCCTTCCTGCATCCACCTGCTCCAGCGTGGGAGCCTCCATGGGCTGCAGGGGGGTCTCTGCACCCCGATGCTCCCCCAGGGGCTGCAGGGGCACAGCTGCCCCACCCTGCTCTGCCCCACGGGCTGCAGGGCCTCAGCTCCAGTGCCTGGAGCACCTCCTGCCCCTCCTTCTGCGCTGACCTTGGGGTCTACGTTGTTATTCCCATGTTCTCACTCCGCTCTTCCCTGGCTGGAATTCCTTCTTTTTCTTAAATATGTTATCCCAGAGGCATTGCTGTCACTCCTGACTGTCTCAGCCTTGGCCAGCAGCAGGAATTCCATCCTGGAGCCACTGGCATTGGCTCCACGGGACAGGGGAAGCTTCTGGCAGCTTCTAACAGAAGCCACCCCTGTAGCCCCCCCGCTACCAAAACCCAGCCACAGAAACCCACTGCACCCAGTTACTTCCACTTGCCCCAGGATGGTTCCAGTTTCCATCAGGATGATCCTGGTCACTCCCAGTCACTCCCAGTTTATGCCAGTTGCCCCCAGCATGCACCCTGTCACTCCCAGTTACTCCCAGTTGCTTCCAGCATGATCCCAGTTGCTCCAAGGATGTTCCCAGTTGCCTTCCAGCATGGCCCCACTGGCTCCCAGTTCCCCCCTGCATAGTTCCAGTCACTCCCAGTTTGATCCTGGTCCCTTACAGTCGCTCCCGCTATCATTCCAGTATGGTGCTGGATCCCAGTTGCCCCCAAGGTGGTCCCAGTTGCTCCCAGCCACCCCCAGGATGGCTCCTTTCACTCTCAGGGACTCCCCGTCTGAGTCCAGTCTGGCCCCAGTCACTCCCAGTCACTCCCTGGAGGATGCCATTTGCCCTCCGCATGGTCCCAGTTGCTCCCAGTATGATCCCAGTATGAGTCCAGTCACCCCCAGTATGATCCCAGTAACTTCCAGACACGTCCAGTAGGAAGCCACTTTGATCCCACTCATCCCCAGTATGGCTGCAGTCCCTCTCACACACTCCCAGTATTATTGCAGTCACTCCCAGTATGACCCCAGTAGGGGCCCAACTGCTCCCAGTAGGATCCCAGTTGCCCCCAGCATGGTTCCAGTTGCTCCCCTTCACCCCTGCTATGGTTCCAGTCACTCCCAGAATGATCTCAGTCACTCCCAGCCACTCCCTGGATATCCCAGCTCCCTCAGCCTCTCCTCACACCACTTGTGCTCCACTCCCTTCCCCAGCCTCGCTGCTCTTCTCTGCTCCTGCTCCAGCCCCTCCAGGGCCTTCCTCAACTCAGGGGCCCAGAGCTGGACACAGCACTCCAGGGGTGGCCTCACCAGCGCTCACTCCAGCCCAACAATCCCTTCCCTGCTCCTGCTGACACACTCTTCCTCACACAGGCCACCATCCATTGGCCCTCTTGGCCACCTGGCCACACTCTGCCTCCTCTTCAGCTTCCTGTCCATCCCCACTCCCAGCTCCCTTCCTGCCTGCCTGCTCTCCAGACACTCTGGCCCCAGCCCGGGGGGCTGACGGGGCTTCTTGTGGCCAAAGGGCAGGACCCGGCCCTTGGCCTGCTGGAACCTCATCCCCTTGCAATCAGCCCATGGATCCAGCTGGGCCAGGTCCCTCTGCAGAGCCCTCCTGCCTTCCAGCACATCAACACACCCCCAGCTTGGTGTCAGCTGCACATTTGCTGATGAAATGCCTGCTTCTGCAGCAGCTGCAGATGCTCAAGGGGCAGCAGGACCAAGTCAGGGGCCTGGGGGGCCCTGGGGGGCTTTGGGGTGCGGGAGGGTCCTGGGGGAACTGGGGAGGGGCTTTGGGGATTGGGGGTACAAACCAGGACAGACCAGGACAGACCAGTACAGACCAGTAGCTCCTCACTGCTCCCCAGATCTCTCCTGGAGCTGGGCCACGTTGTCATGGGACACCTGAGCCCCCCCAGTGCCCTCCCAGTACAGCCCAGTGCCCCCAGTACAGCCCACTGTGTTCCTGTCCCAGGGTGCTGGGTGATCCCTCTTGGGGGGGTTGGAAGGGATTTGAGGGGGGAGCTGCGGGGGATTTGGGGGGATCTACAGGGGTGGGATGGGGATTTAAGGGGGTTTAGGGGGGCTTTGGGTGCATTTAGGGAAGTTAAAAGAGGTCTTGGGGGCATTGGGGGGTCAAAGGGATCTGTGTGGGGAGGGGATTAAAGGGAAAATGGGGGTTAGGGGACATTTGGGGGGGTTAATGGGGCCTGGGGGGGAGAGGAGGGGCTGCACCACGAGCAGGTGAATCCCGAAAACCCCCTGGTGAATCCTGAAGCCCCCCTGGTGAGGGTCATCTTGAGAGGATGAGCCAGTGAGCCTTGAATTCCACTCCATCCACTCTTATGACTGCATCTTATGACCGCATCACAGAGTTTCCCTTCGTTGGCCAAGCTGCAGGGAAGCCCTGCTTCAGCACCACT